TGAAGGGATGAAAAAAAATATACTACAGAATGGAGAGAGTAAGTCCTTTGAAAGAGGGAAAACAATCTGCATCTATAGCAAGCCGAAATTGACGTGCTACTCCATAACTCAGTTTCTCATTTTCCTTTGGACTGCATTAAGATGCACATTCACCTATTTTCTAGGATTTGCTTTCACAATTGAGAATTTTGCTGATGTTAACAAGCAGAAGGAAGACAAATTCATTCTTTTCTTTGAGTTTATCATTTCTCTCTATTTTGTTTAAGGTCAGGGTTAGCTGGGTTCAATTTCCATATGAATTTAACCAGTATTGGTATTATGCACTATAGTCCAAAGGAAGGTTATTTGTTGTAATGCACAAGTTCTCCCTTTCTATTTTGATTTCGGTTTGGGATTGGAGAGGCAGACCATTTATGATTAGCCTGACTTACAAAAGTGAAAACCAGTTATCCCTATTCAATTAGAGGGGAGTAGCTTATGTAAGAGATTTTCTGACTTCAGATTTTAAGAAGGTCTTCTGCGCTCTACATTTCAAGAAGCCCCTTGGACTCAGTTCATGGTTCTGGCAGAAAATGTGGACTAAGGAGTGCATGCTAAAATCTACATTCTGACCATCTGTAGCTGTCTTTGTTCTGGATGTAAATGTGTTGTAGAACTGTTATCTTGATACCCTTGATGATAAATGGTTTAACTTATCCAAATAGTTACACATTTAAATCTTTGCATTTATTAATTTTTCACCAAAGCTAATTGTTTTTTCCCCTCTTTCTTGTCTGGGGCAGGTTAGAGAAATAAGTTACTTTTTTGCACCAGAGGTAACTCGCTGGCAAGCTGAGGCTTTAATAGCTCTTCAGGAGGTACTACAACTTCTAAGAATAATAAATGGATCTGTTAGCGCTATTTGGATCATTGCATTTAATTTATCTGTAAGAACCATGCATCCATGAAGAGGACAGGGAAAGAGATTCATGAATATACTCTCCCTCATAAATCATCTAGTAGTTTTATATCAACAACATATTTAGTTTGGAATAGTCTCTGCTCCATATACCAATTAAAAATATTTTAATGTATTTTATAAATATTCTACTCTTAATTCAGAATGTGCTTAATAATCTCCTTTAAAAGAATTCTTCAGGTTCTAGAAAGTTACAACATCAGTTCCTTAACAAAATAAAGCATGTGCAATTGTGTGGTCAGGTAGTGACTGTCTGACTGAGTTATGAGAAGGGCCAATCTATTATCAAAGTGATATTCTTCTTTTTGTTAGCACTTTAGCATACAGCAATTGGTAGGCAACCAAAGATGGACAAGGCCAACTAGTTAGCTAAGGAGGTTGGAGTTTCTGGAATATTATTGTACTTAGAGATTTCTAGCACATACTTTTGCGCCATGAAGGTTTTTCTACTTTGATTATGGTTGTGTATTTTCCCTTTATAAATCCTGCTCAACTAAGTCACTTTTTCTTTACAAACTGCAAAATACTATTAGGGTGTATTAATCAGGCAAGTTGAAAATAAACACTATATATCTGTTGGGTTTAGCTTAGCTAAGCTAATATCCTGAATGGTACAACCCACAAATAAAGTCGCTACTTGACTTATTTGGCTTCTCATGTGAAAATGTTCTACTCCAGAGGGCATATATTAGTTCTAAGTCTCATTGATTTCTATTAGCTTTTGTTTTGTTATCATGAATTTTGGTAGTTATATATGCATCAATATACGACTGATCTTGCAGTGACAACATGGCACCTTCTCCTTCCATGAAGCTAGTCAATTCTGACACAGGGTGTCGCTAGTTTGGAATACCTTATTTTCTAAGTTTCCCAGCAAAGAATGAGGCATTGGGGAGAAAGGGCTTTTTTAGTGGTTATGCCCTTTGGCTTCCTTTAATATGCCCTTGAATTCTTTCTGCTATAACCAAAAGTCCTATGTGCTCTATCCCTTTCTGACTGCATGTATCTATAAGTGTAATTGCTATTAATGCATGGATGTAATTTCTCCATTTTAGACAATGACATTCTGATGTCCAGTAGAAACGGGTGGACTAAAAGGATTTGGCGTGCTGTGATTATTAATGAAAGCCGTTAGAATTGGGCATCAACATAGTAAGTCCTTTAAGGCGGGGGCACTGTGTATAACATGTGAGAAAAAGGACACAGCCATCGCTCGTTGTGGTTGCCTAAGCATCTATCTTAGCACATCTCTCTGCAAGCATACACTTGGGCTTTCCTATGAGGTTATGTTTGAATCTGAAGAGCATCAATGATCTTATGACTTCAAGTACTTTATAGGACCCTAGCAATGTTTCTGAAATCCATTGTCCTCTCCTCTCAGAAGAACAGTCAGCAGCAGAAACATGAAGTGTCTATTCAATGTCTAAATTTGTATATTTAGTGTTGATATGAACTATTATTCATCTTGCAAGCTGTAGCCATCTGGTGTAAAGTTTTGTGTGAAAGAATTCTATCCCATTCTTAATGCAACTCCCCTCAAGTCGGAGCATTGCAATCATGTTCAAACACTGCCTATTCTGTCACGCAATTTATCTTTACTTGCGTGGACAGTGTAGTAATAATCGTATGATCCTTGGAAAGCATACCTTTCTGAGGATTTTTTCATTATAATGCATCATTAAAATTGCCAAATGTAGATGTGTGTACAAAGTAAGAAAGTCTATGAATGCATAGATTCTTATCCAGTCAACATTATGCTTTTCAGCCTTCGCTTGTAGAAGTACCTTTTTATGCTAAAATATAGTAGTTTTTTTGCTTCCTGTAATATATGTCATAATGAATACTAGAGTGATATAGTTTTCTTTGATGGTTATTCTGCAGGCTGCAGAAGATTTTTTAGTTCATCTGTTTGATGATTCAATGCTATGTGCTATTCATGCGAAGCGTGTTACACTTAGTAAGTTGTTCTGTTTCACCTCTACATTTTTTTGTTTTTTGTTTTTTTTATAGTGATATTTTTCCTTCTCTCCTTGACCTTCCTCTACACCCCCTACTCATTTCCTTGTCGCTCTGGGGAATGGGCTGGCTAGGGCTGGTGCATCCAAAAACCTGTGTTTTAGGCTTCAGAGACCTGGTTGATTGTCAAACTCCTGGTCAGCAAATTTTGTTTCTCTGTTATAGATTTCATCGGCCAAGTTAGCTGCTTCACCTGTATTATTGACATCCTCCCTCAGGGAAGAGGAGGAAAATAATCAAGACGACATACAAATGGATCACCAATTTAAATGTTCTAATATGCTTTGTCTATTTCTGGTTAGTTTTGGTCTCATAATAGAGATTGTAACAAACCATCAATGTGCATATTTTTTGTCCCCTAATTTTCTTCAGTCCAGTTGACATTGCTAAAAACGAAAAGTGAAATGAGGCTATCTCTTCTATTGCTTCTTCCTATTCCATAGGGATTCTTCCATCAGATCAGGTACACCCTATTTGGATACCGGAAAAGTCTGGGGTGTTTATTGCAGTAAAAAGATAGTCCAATGATCTTTTAAAATAAGTACTGGAAACAGAGGTGAGCAGTATGGCCTTAGGGGTTGTTTGGTTACAAGGATAAGGGATAAGATCTTTTAAACTGCCTAGAGTATTGTTTGCTTGGCAATGCTTGTTATATGATGTGCAATTTATATTTTTTCGTCTTTCTTAATGCTCAGTGAAAAAGGATTTTGAGCTGGCTCGACGACTTGGTGGAAAAGCACGACCTTGGTGAAGACCAGATTACCATCCTACCCCAACTAGATAATTGCACAGCTTCAGTTCAAAGAATCAGCCTCCACGTGGAGTCTATAAAGTTTAACTATCAGTACTTGCAGATTGTTCCTGTTTTAACCATTACCTCCTGTAATAGAATGGGTTAATTATGGTACATGATCTTCAACTTTCCATACTGTAGTAGCAATTCTTACAACCACACTTTGACTTAGTTGGATGCTATGCCATGTGATTATAGTGGACGAGTTACCTATATGTCCTGCAGAAAGTAGTCTGTATTCTATGTTTTAGGCTGCAGAGATACATCCTTTTGCCTTACCAATTGTCTCGTCTCAATTCTCTTTCTTTCTATTGTTCCTTGTTAGAAGGTTACTTGTGCTGAAGGAATGACAAGAACAAGGGAACAATTCAGGTCTTTACAGGGGATCCATTTTCGTTGGTGTCGCCTTTGTTGAATTGGATATTGATGAAGATGGCATTTGAAAGTGGGTGGGTGTTTTGCATTTTTACACTAAAGCTGTGTTTCTTGCAAGTTTACACCCTTGACGACTCGTTTAGGAATAACCTTGGAGCATCATATTGGAATTATAACAAGTTTTTGTATTTAGCGCAAGTATAGTTGGGGGTGCTTTCTGGCATATGTTCTTTTTGTAGCTATCTTGGTCCTCACGATCAAGTTCTCAAGACTCATAATAATTAACGAAGATCTCGTTTTCTCAGGGAGGACTTGATTTAATCTGGCACTCCTCATTTTGGAAATAAAAGAGGCCTGATTACGCTGTGCCTTAAACACAATGGGATAAACCTGACAAAAACTTCAATTCTCCTTCGATTATTAAGTTGAAAAAAGTCGTGGGCCTTAAATAAACGACATGATTGATTCTCTACGAAGCTTTGTTTTTCTAGTAGTCGGCCCCGTAATGCTTCCCTTCATTTGCTTGCCTCCTTTCAGCTTAGAATGCCTAATGTAGAGACAATGACATAACAGTTGTCAGGAGATAAAATTGGCGGAAAGATTATGTAAAACCTCATTATCCTTTCAATTTAATAATCCATTGGCAAGAGTTTGTGCACCATATAAATAAAAACTCTATGAAAGAACCTTGTCAAAAAATGTAATAATAGAAGGAATGACAACTGCAAGTCAAAGGGAACGTGTAGTTTGTTTAGTTAGGACCAGCCGTTGTTTCATGATAACAAATGCAGACAAATCTGTCGAACCATTCAGGACAACTATAAAAAAACAGAAGCTGTCCTAACTTATTTCACAACAAACTCTCTGTTATTCCTCTTTTCTTGATCCTCATTATTCTTATCTTTTATTTCTCAACTTTTGTACCTAAATGGATCAAAATCTCCATCATCAGCCCAAGCTCATGCACCACCGCTGTTGCAGCCATGAAGGTACAACCCTTTGCCGAGGTTCAGTTTCTTTCTTTGTTCATGTTATAAGGGGACTTTACCTTTTTTTTCATTTTTACTATTTAACTTTTTCTTTTTGGGAAACAGAGGTTAATAGTATGGAGTGGGAGTTCATCAGCATGAGCAAGCAAGAAGAAGATCTTATTTACAGAATGCACAAGCTTGTTGGAGACAGGTAAAGTTTGATAACCAGATTTGCAAAGCTTTTACCAGTAGTTTCATATTTCTCATTAAACTTGGAAAACAGTGTCATAAGCAGGTGCAGATGTAGTATTTGGTTATATTAACAGGTGATGCGATACTAACTGCAACTTCTTGTTCTCGGCTTGAACTATATAATATATGGTTGAGCACTTTAAAATAAATCTACACTAAGTTCGCACTCAGACACAAAACAGTAGTGGATATAATCAGGAGCAAACGTAGTGCATGATACTTTGCTAGCTCCTGCTAAGTGGCATGCGCAGGATTTTGCATAAAGGGTGTCATAATTTGAAGAAATGACAAAAGAATAAATCACTATAATAACAAATGGTGTTATTTTCTATACGTATCCCAAATATTTTAATTTTTCTTATAAATATTTAGTGCAAAATTTGGACCAAATGGTGTCCCATGACACCTCATGGTATAAGGTGCATACGCTAACTTAAAATATTTGATCCGCATGCGGTGTTAATTAGGCCTACAAGTTGTAATGTTTTGAATTCTCGTGTGTATTCATAAAAATAACTTTGGTTGTGAAGGTGGGGACTGATAGCAGGGAGAATACCAGGGAGAACAGCAGAAGAAATAGAAAGGTTTTGGATAATGAAACACAGTGATGGCTTTGCAAACAAGAGACGACAATTAAGAAAAGTATAGCTACTATATATATGATGTCTTCTTAAAGCTTTTGAAGAAAGCAGTTTCTCTTTTTCTCTTTTCCATTTTGTTTGGGGAATCTTGGGGACCCTACTCGGTTTTATCATTTCATTCTTCCTTTTTATTGTACTTCCACTTGTGGATTTCTATTTTATGCCTTTCTAATATCTTTTTTGGTGGTTTTGGGTTGTTATGTCCAGTATATGTAAACTAGCTCTAGGTGGCAATACTATTATTCTTGGGGCTTAGCCAAATAGATATGTATCCAGAATATTAACTAATGGTGCAAAATATTATTATTATATCCACTACTACTTTGTCGCGGTAGGTGCAATTAACAAATGCTCTTTTTCAAAGAAAAATACCAACGATCTACTAACAAGGTTTGTCTTGGTTTCCCATTCCTTGGCTGGTGGTACTAGTGACCGTCCGACCGATGCGGTAGCACGTGTCCTTACCCTCTGTGAAAGAAAATAACAAAAATTTAGTTTCCGAAATTAACAAATTTATATACGTTTTAAGGCCCCATTAATTCGAATACGCGTCATGTAAGATTAATTAAAGGAAAAAGTGCTCCCCTTTTCTCATGATTCATCCTAACACTCTCTTTGTGAATGAAGTAAGAAAAACCAACATGGCAAAGTTTTGGGGAACAAAGGGAAGAGATTTCTAACTTTCTTTTCATATCTCTTGTGCATGTTTAATTTCCTAGTTTTCAAACAAATAGGGACCATCAATAGAAGCAATATAATATGATAGATGACTATAATTCCTTCGTCATATATATGCTGACATCTATTTTCTTTTAATTTTAACTATTTAAGTCTGGTCCCCAATAATCTTGTTGTTGAAGTATGGAATAGAAGAAAAGGTGAGAGATCTACCCCAAAATGCTAGTAGTACGTAGTAGTTAAAGGAAAATTAAAAAGGGTACATAGTGTAATTTTAAGCAAGTACCGAATGGTAGGTCAGATAATTTTAAGATAATTTTATCCATGGTCATTGAACTTTTGTGTTTGTTACCCAAAAGTCACTTTTTTTTTTTGTTACGTAAAAATATTCAACTTTGTGTTCATACACAAAAGTCACTTTTCTTTCTTTTGTTAAACAAAAATTATTTTACTTTGCTCTAGTTATCACAAAAGTCACATTTTTACTTGAAAAGTCTATTATGCCCTTGATATTATATAAACCTTCATATTTATGTAATACCTTCTATATTATATACTATATAATATATTTTTAACTATGTATTTTACTTATAAATAAAATAACTTAATATTATTTTATTTATTATTTTTATAATATATTCATATATTTAATTTCTTATTAACTTTAATTTTCAAGATATATTAGTAGCGTTATAAAATAACTTTTTTTTCAGCAATTTTTTTTTTTGAATTTAATTGACCGACCAAAGTTGGTCAAAAATTACCGACCAACTTTGGTCTTTATGCCCTTCCGACCTTCAAAATACCGACCACACGTTAATGGTCGCGTTTTGGACGATTATTGGCCATTACCGACCAACTTTGATCGATTTTTTTGGACGATTTTTTCCGAATTTCTAGTGTAATTTCCTAAATAACCAATTGCCCAGGTAAATCCCCAAGAAAATATCCCCAGCTAAATTCGCATGTAGTTACTAGCGATTTTCCTTCAGATTAACATATGATTTGTTCCTCATTTTCTTTGTTTGTTTACCTGTGAATTTTCTCACGGAAATGTACTTGCCGATTTATTTGTCTACTAGTATATATTAAAGTTACTGACAAATTTAATAACGCAACTAATATATTTTGAAAATTAACGTTAAGAAATAATTAAATATGCGAATATATTATAAAAATAATAAATAAAATAATATTAAGTTATTTTATTTATAAATAAAATACATAATTAAAAAAATATTATATAGTATATAATATAGAAGGTATTACATAAATATGAAGGTTTATATAATATCAAGGGCATAATAGACTTTTCAAGTAAAAATGTGACTTTTGTGATAACTAAAGCAAAGTAAAATGATTTTTGTGTAACAAAAGAAAGAAAAGTGACTTTTGTGTAATGAACACGAAGTTGAATGATTTTTATGTAAAAAAAAAAAAGTGACTTTTGGGTAACAAACACATAAGTTCAATAACCATAGATAAAATTATCTCGATAATTTTTATATATGAGTTACCTTGTTAGAGTAATCACTGTAAATTTTTTATAATTGTCCTTTAATATATCCAACTAATGAAGAGAGTTGATTCGAATATGAAAAGCTAAACTGAGAATACCTAACTGTTAAAATAAAGTAGCAACACTAAGGAAGAAAACGGGAAATGTCTTGGAAACAGACCAATAATATTGTTGTTGACATATGAAGAAAACCTTCAGAAACATACATTGAAAAAGTCCAATGTCGAGTATGAAAGTCCTCACAACGCAATTCATACCAATTATTTCATGTCCGTACATACTAGATCCACATTCCAAATTTTATCATTGCCTTTTTTCCTTAATTATATTTTCTTTTCGCAATGATAACGTTTCCTAAACTTGTGGATAGGGAAAATTAAGGTAAAATATGAAACTTCAAGGGTATCATTCATGGGAACGTCCTTCTGTTTTGTATGGAGTTGTTTCTAGACAATACTTTACCTCTAATGTGAAACTTTTCGGTGCGAATTTGGATTTTGTCGGACCCAATTATTGATATCGGATATCAAATGAAAAATTAAAAAAATATTTATTTGTCTTGATGGGACTGTCGTGACCTTTGCAATTAATAATCTTAATTTTATTCTGGGATGCACTCAACTCATTACTTAAAAGCTAATATAGGTCTTTCAAGCATAGTTTCCTGCCATTGAGTTAATGCTTCATATTTTGAGACTTAAACATTTATCCATAGTTTAGGTGTAAAACTGAATCAAGGTTCATATACAGAGGGCATGCAGTTAATGTGCAACGTACCAAACAATTAAACCAAACGTTCAGCAAAAGCGAGAATGCAAATTCGAAGGAGATGTATAACTGGATATTATTGGGGTCTTCTACTTTCCTTAGACCTGGTAAAACAATTTAAGCAAACATTTATATATACAGTAATTAAAGTAGTTGATTATTTGTCCAACGCGTTTGAGAAATTGAATATAGAAGGCTTCCTTCCATATGGAAGTTATGGTTGGTTAGTATTTTCTTTGGAAACTAAAGTGTGACCCAATACGTGTTAACTCTCTCTTAATTATTGGATGCTTCTTAAAATCATGCTACAGCATCTAGCAAAATCCAACCACAAAACTCCAGTAACTGCTTTACATCATATTTAATACTATTACCCAAATTTTTGTCCAAGGACTGGATAATAGGGACTTAACATATGTTGTAGTCTACACAACAAGTAGACAAGTCAGTAGTACTTGATGGAACTTATTTGCGTAGGTGTTGCCTTGTGACACCGATCGTTATATATAATGTTTAAAACGAAATAAAGATCATTCTCACCTTCTAATAATTGTCCCGTGAAAAATAAACTTTCTAATAAGGAAAAATCGTATCGTCGATCTCTATAGTGGTGGAGCACTTCTACTATGTTAGAAGTTTGAGTCACAACAATAACATACTCAGTGTGATCGTACAAGTGGGATCCTGAGATGGTGGGTGTACCCAAATAACCTTATGAAATCTGAGTCATGTGAAGTGTAAATAAAAAAATAAAATTAAAAAACTGTTAATTATCTAAGTGGTGAGGAGTGTTATAGAAAAAAACAAAAGATTGCCAAAAAAGAAAATGTCGAATTGGTCGTATCGTGCACTTTGGGTTCAACTCTTTCTTTTAAAAAAAAAAAAAAGAAAAACAATAGTGGGTTACAACTAAGGGTGTTAAACGGGCCGGGTTGATCCGGTTCCGGACCGGCCCAGACCGGTAGAACCCGGAACCGGCCCGGACCGGTAAGGGGGGGCTGGGCTGGGCTGGGTAGGGGGGTTGGGGGGGTTTGGACGGTTTAAATTTTTGAAACGGGTAACCGGCCCGGTTGAACCCGGTAGAGTTACTGTTCACTCTCACCGGGTTAACCGGACCGGCCCGGCCCGACCCGGTTCAAGTGATAGTTTTTTTTTTTTTTTTTTTTTTTTTAATTTTCGAATTGAATGGGGCCCACAGACCGTTGGCAACGGTCAGATTCTGATTTGGTCCGTTGGCCAACGGGTCTTTTGCACAAATAGCCTATTTTTTTTAATTTTTAACCCTTTTTCAATTTACAAAACTAACCTTCTCTAAAACTATAAATACACCCCCCCCCCGTTCTTCATTTCTTCACTCAATACTCATTTCTCAATCTCAATTTCTCTCATTCTCTCATTCTCCAATTTGCAAGACTTTAAGTCTCAATCTCAAATTCTCAATCTCAAATTCTCAATTCTCAAATCTCAAGTTAATCATGCCTCGTACTTCTAGAGTGCGCTCATATGTTTGGCAACACTTTGAGGTGGTAGAAGAAAATGAAAAAGGTCAGAAATTAAAGTGCAAGAACTGTGGTCAAGTCTTGAAAGGCAAAATACATAGTTTACCCATCAATCTAGCAACGAAATCCCTGTTACACACTTTTCTTTTACGGGAAACCTTTGACACACTCAACCTTTCAAAAGTGTGTTTAAGACACACTACTTTTGACCAGATAGCACTTGCATGTTTACACACAAAAAAAGCGCGTGAAACCCGTAAAAAATCTTATTTTGTCTCCCCTCCCCACAGAAAGCTCTCCCCTCCCTTTGGTCTTCTTCCTCACCACCCTCCCCCTCATTTTCTTCCACCAAAAAGATTTTTTGAAAGAAAATATCGATTTTAGATCTAAAATTGAGCGAATTTTGTTGGTTTAAAAATTATTTATTTGTGATAGATTTAAAAGTCTTAACATTAGTATTGAAGGTTTGGTGCAAAAGTCTAGAATCCATCATTGTTGGGGTATCGGAAAAAACTTGAAAATTCAATTGGGTCTTGTTGATTATTGGTTATTGAACTCAATTTGTTGCTCGATTATTTTTGGCTAGTTGTTTAGATAGTGTAGTTGAATTTTGGTATTGTTGGAAACTTTCTCACAAACAACCATGGTGGTAGCAATAATGGTGCTTAAGATAGAAAATGGAAAGATGAAGAAGATGGATTTTAATTTTAATTTCTAATATTTTTTTTCCTTTTAAAGTTCAATTGACACGTTGTCAAGACCCTGTTAGGGCGTGAATTTCACGTTATCTGAAAAATTGGTCAAGCACAAAAGTGGTGTGTCTTAGACACACTTTTGAAAGGTTGAGTGTG